GGGCGCGCTTTATTGCTGTATAAAAGTATACATAAAAGCGAGAGTATTCCAGTGGATGCGATCTACAACTTCTGAATTTGCCTAGTAACGACGAATTCGTCCAGAAAATGGTAATATTTTATGAGAAATAGTCTGTATTTCTCATTTTTTTTATTCTTTTGCGTAAAACTAAAATTCATGCCAATATTTTTCCATGACTTATAATAATTGGAGTAATGCAAATGCATATTTTCTAAAAAAAGTCAGTTTTTAGTGAAATTTTGCCGGGAATGGGGCTTTAATTTGCTGTCTAAACCAAGTTATTATGACTACGACTCCCCACCACCTAATAATATGTGGTGTCTAAAAGCACAATTTTGGACCATCCATAAAATCTCTCCTCATGAACCCCACCAGGAGTCCGTGACCCTGACCAAGGCACTAAGCAGCCTCTTGGTTCAGACCTTTTATCGGACATGTAGGACCATCTGTCAGCAAATTTCTGGAGCCACCACTGCTAGAATCAGAATGCTGCACATTGAATGAAAGTATTTGATATATAAGGCCAAAGCCCCAACAATAATTCCATATTAGGGTGTTTTCCAAAAGGAAATCCACTGTGCTTCTGCAGCCAGGTGGATATTTCAGGGAATTTCAGCTCTTGCGGGCATTGAGAAAATGCATCCCCTTAAAGCAGAAGCACTCCATTATGTAAAATTTAAACATTAAATGGTTTATCTGACACAAATATACCTTCCAAGGGTGGTGTCTGGGGCCATAGTGCCCCTGTCAGGAAGGGAAGTAAAACATTTTGTCGAAGAGGAAAAAACATTACATGTATTTTTAAATATGATGAACTCTAAAATTGATTAAATACAGTAACCTTTTGAAAACACTAAATTTTCATACAGTAGTTTCAAGGGGATTCGCCCCTGACCCAACCCCACTTACGACTTATGTTTTCATCAGGGGGATCTGACCGTTGGGAAAATCTACACCCAAAAAATACACATAAAACACAAACAAAAGACAGAAACGTAAGTGTGTTTGTTTATCATTAGTTGTAGATAACCAGAAATATGTCTACCCATATCATCCGACGAGTTTGTCAAAATCGAGTTTGCAGAGTCCATGGCCACTTTGCCAAAACTCCAGTTTGACAAAGTTTACTAAAATCATGACAGCCAAAAGCAAAGTTAAAAGTAGGCCTACAGCATAATGATTTTGAACACATAATGGTTGGGTCAGGGTGGAGCTGTGATTTATATACTATTAAAAGGAAATAAAGGAAATAATTGATTGGTCAACGCCTCAGAGATTATTTTCAGGCATCTAGAAAACCAAAAATTTGTGGGGAATACCCCGGACCCCCTGTGTATCAGTGTTGTCTCGATTTTCCCCACTTTTGGGGGCCCCCCCCCTCTTTTGGACACCTCTGGATCCGCTCCTGATACGAATATAGGCCTATTTGAGCAACCAATATCTGCACTTAAGACAAATTATTAAATAAATCTTTAATTAGGCCCTACTACAGAAATGTGAGACTTGCGGAAGTACTAGGCCTGGCAATAATATATCAAAATAACTTGTGATAAACTGTATATGTATTCATTCTAGGATTGTATGTATTGAACAGTTCATAAAAATTCAAGTTTTTTTAATAAAAAAAAATAAAATTTATTTATAAATAAATATAAAAATCTATGCTGCTTATCATACGCAAGAAGAAGATTGATATAATAAGTGAATAGAAGTTTGGGGTTTGTCGGGTAGTGAAATGATTATTGTACATTTTAAGTGCTCCCTCCGTGCAAGTGTAAGCTAAATTACGGTGATTATTTAATAAAGGAAGATATGGAGACAATTATTTCCAAGTTCCCTCTTTCCAAGAGGGGATGCAAAAGCTTTGTGAAAATGAGTACGCCGCAGTACTCATTTTCACAAAGGAATACACACAACTGGGTAGCTAACAATATGCAAATGTTACATGAACACCTGAGAAGGAAGGTGCAATGACATTCTGTTGCCTAGCAAACATCTGTACTGTAGCGTGGTGGTGGGGGGGGGGGCTAGCCTACTGATGTACTGTGTAGCGGGGGATGATGAGGCATAATATGACTAGGCCTAAGTAGACAGTGCAATTATATGTGATAGAAAGTACACTTTCGAAAGAAATAAATTAAAATAAGAAAAAAAAAAAAAAAACAAATAACTAGGAATAATTCAGTTGCAGAGGTACCTTGATTAAGTATTATACAATGCTAACAATGCGGCTCTTGTAGCCCTAGCTAGGCAAGGCATCAATGTGCAAAGCAGTGGTGTTTGTTTATCCATGAAAAAAGCACGCCGGGAAAGTTTGCCTAA